GGGCCCTGAAGGCCCAGACATTCGAACCCTAGGGCCCTGAAGGCCCAGACATTCGAACCCTTACGGCCCGACGCCTCCAAGACCCCAACGCCCTATAATGCAACGAGGCGTGGGTTGCACTGGAGTTACTCCAATTGGAGCAGTTGGATCTCACAGGCAAGGCGAAGATGAGCCCCATCAGCCACGCCCGCGCCCGAAGTGGAAACGGCGCGCGCCCCATTCCATTTGGGCACGTTCTGCGCGGCGATTACCACGCGGACGCAGACGACGCCAGGATCACGATCTTCACAGTGCAGACCACTCGCTGTACTGCAGCAGTGTGTGGACTCCGCCTCCTCCCAGCCGTCCTTATCAAGGCACTCATCGGGAGGGCGCCGTTCCTTCACTCAGCCTCCCTCTTTCTGCGCTCTTGCACAGGCGCGATGGCGGGATCTGTCGCAGGCAGCTGGATGTATCCCCCCGTTTTCCTGTCGTGCGGCACTGCTGTCCACGCAGCTCCATGGCGGAACCCAGCGACTAAAGCCTTGTCGATCCCGCGAACCGCCCACGGTCTCGGCGAGCGTAGCGTTGGCGGCGCGCTGGTCGGCAGCGAGTGGCTGCGTCGGGGTGCTCTCCAGCTGCGCGGGCGAGCTCGCCGCTGCGGCTTACATGGCACGCAGCACTGCCTGGCGCCGCTCATTCTCCGCCGGCTGCGGCTCGGGGCGGATTCGGCAGCATGCCCTGCAGCGTCGCCGTCTCCCCAGCTGGGACCGCCACTTCATCATGCGCCTGCGCCACCGCTTCCAACGGCTCGTCAATGGCAGGGGTCATCGCGCCGCCCAGAACGAGCACCTGGCAGGATACAGTGTCAGAGAGTTGCTGCTCCGCAAAGGCCACCTCAACAAGGTTGTGCGCGGCACGAGGATCAGAGTTCAGCGGGCTCCAAATTAAAGAGATCCGAACTCAGCTGGTCCGAGTAAAGCGCGTCCGAGGTCAGCCCGGTCCAAGTTCAGTCGCGTCCGAGATCAGCCCCTTCCCTTGCGGCGCACACGACAGGAGGCTCGCGCCGCAGCCGGAACGGCCGAGTACGAAATCAGCCAAGTCTGAGATCAGCCCAGTCCGAGATCAGCGGGCCCGAATTCATCTGGGTCAAAATTCGGCCGGGCCCGAGATCAGCCCGGCCCGAATTCAGCCTGGTCCGAGTTCAGCTGGGTACGAGTTCAGCGGGGTCCGACTTCAGTTGGGTCCGAATCGGCGCGTCCGAGAACAGCCGCGGACCTGGGTCCGAGTTCACCCGGGTCCGAAATCAGCCGGATCCGAAAGCAGCCGGGTACGAGTTCAGCCAGGTCCGAGGTCAGCCGGATCCGAGATCAGCCCCATCCTTTTGCGCTGCACTCGGCGGAAGCCTCACGTCGGCTGGGTCCGAGCTCAGCCGGGTCCGAGATCAGCCGCGTCCGAGTTCAGCCAGGTCCGAGTTCAGCGGGTCCGACTTCAGTTGGGTCCGAAATCAGCTGGGTCCGAGTTCAGCTGGGTCCGAGTTGAGCGGCTCCGAGTTCAGCGGGGTGCGAGTTCAGCCCGGTCCGAGTTCAGCCGGGTCCGAGTTCAGCCGTGTCCGAGATCAGATCTTTCCCATGCAAAGCCCCACGCAGAGATGCAACCACATGCTGTCCAGGTCGCCGTCGTCGTCGTCGTTGCACCCCGCCTAGATGATGGTTCCGTCACGCAGGGGCATGGTGTCATTGCGCTGGGCCCCCCAGCAGCCCTCGACAGTGGCGACGGTTTCGCAGATCGCAGCCCCCCCAGGGATGGCGAGGTCTAGTCTGAATTTGCGGCAAGGCGTCACTCCGCTGGCCCTTCCAGCAACCCTCGAAAGTGACGACAGTTTCGCAATCCGCAGCCGCCCCCCTCCCCCTGGGATGGCGATGTCTCATCTGACCTCGCGCTCGGAACCAACAGCCCTGGCCTTCTCAGCAGCCCTTAAAAGAGGCGGCACTGTCGCAGACCGCAGCCCCCAGGGACGGCGCGGTCGAATCTGGGTTTGCGCTCGGCACCTCCCATGCTGCCCCCCCCCAAACAGCCTTCGAAAGCGGCAACGATTCGCAGATCGCGGCGCCCCAGGGATGGCGAGGTCTACTCTGTGTCTGCGCTCGGCACCAGCTACGCTAGCCCTCCCAGCTGCAGTCGGGAAATGGCCACAGTTTTGCAGATCGCAGCCACCCAGGGGCGGCGAGATTCATTCTGAGTCTGCGCTCGGCACCCACTCCGCTGGCCATTCCAGCAGCCGTCGAAACTGGCGGTATTTTCGCAGACCGCAGCCACCCAGGGGCGGCGAGGTCTAATCTGAGTCTGCATTCGGTACCGGCTACACTGGCCCTCCCAGCAGCCCTCAAAGGTGGCGATGGTTTCGCAAATTTCAGCCCCCCAGGGATGGCGAGGTCTAATCCGAGATTGCGCTCGGCACCCACTACGATGGCCTCCCCAGCAGCAGTCGACATCGGCGACAGCTTCGCAAAGTGCAGCTCCCCAGGGATGACGAGGTCTATTTTGAATCTGCATTCGGTAACCACTACGCTGGCCCTCGCAGCAGCCCTCGAAAGCGGCGACAGTTTCGCAGATTGCAGCCCCTCCCAGGGATGGCGAGGTATACTCTGATGTTTCGTTCGGTACCGACTACGCTGGCCTTTCCCAGCCGCCTGCGAAAAGGGGCTACAGTTTTAGAGATCGCATGCACCCCTAGGGATGACGAGGTCAGATGTGAACCTGCGGCCGGTATTCACTATGGTGGCCCTACCAGCAGCCCTCGAAAGTGCTGACAGCTTTACAGATCGCAGGCCCCCAGGGATGGCGAAGTGTAACATGAGCCTACGCTCGGCACCCGCTACGTTGGCCCTTCCAGCAGCCTTCGAAAGTGGCAGCCGCATTACATTTCGCGGCGAGGTAGGAGAGGCTGGCAGGGAAACAAGGAGGAGACAGGGGGAGAAACACAGGAAAGCGGGAAGGAAGGGAGGAGACGCGACCACAGTGCTCTATTCGAAACGAGTACCCACGCAGAGGAGGGCTGGGGAACAAATATGTTTTTTTCCCTACCTAGGCTCTGCCTAGAAGGGTTCTTACTCTCTTAGCTTCAAGGGGCCGGGCAGTGTAAAGCGCCCCGGGCGGTTCCCCCAGTCCCCGCCCCGCGGTTCCCCCCAGTCCCTTGGGAGCGTTAGCTTTACCTTTAGCTTTAGCTTTAGCTTAGCTTTAGCTTAGCTGTAGCTTAGCTTTAGCTTAGCGTTTCGCTTAGCGTTTCGCTTAGCTTTTCGCTTAGCGTTTAGCTTAGCTTTAGCTTAGCTTTAGCTTAGCTTGAGCTTAGCTGTAGCTTAGCGTTAGCTTAGCTTTAGCTTAGCTTTAGCTTAGCTTTAGCTTAGATTTAGTTTAGCTGTAGCTTAGCTTTAGCCTAGCTGTTGCTCAGTTTTAGCTTAGATTTAGCTTAGGTTTAGCTTAGCTTTAGCTTAGTTTTAGCTTAGCTTTAGCTTAGCTGTGGCTTAGCTTTAGCTTAGCTTTAGCTTAGCTTTAGCTTAGCTTTAGCTTAGCGTTACTGTTACTACTAATGCTGCTTTCCTAGGGGTTCCAACTCCTAGGTAGGGTCGCACTGGGATAATTTTCCCGACTGATCTGCTCAGAGGCGCTAAGACCGAAAGATTAACATCGTGCACCAGCTCCACGGTCCCTTACTTACCACGACAATCCACACCTCGCACACGTTGTTCATTTCTAAGTATTCGATTATGTTTTATTGTTTGGGGGCGACGCGCCTTTCACGTCTAACTGTTCTGTCCAGGGCCACTTCCTGGCCACTGGGGCGCCAGGAACCCTTCGAAACGAGCACGAGCAGAAATGAACGACGCGTACCGCTATACTCGGGCCGGACGGAAGGGGGGGATTGGGAAAGGGGGGGTACGAAATCTGCTGCATGCAGCTGGTTTCGGCCCCGCCGCCGGACCCACTCCTCGATACATGGGGCGCCTCCCGGCGCCGGGGAAATCGGCTACGTGAGCTGACTCTCAAACCCCCCCTCTGCTATCCCCCCCCTTTCGCCCGGCCCGATCTACACGATCTCGAGCCTCACCTCTGTAAGAACGGTTTTTGAAGGCAGATCTGCCTTCAAGAACGGTTTTTTGAAGGCAGATCTGCCTTCAAAAGTGAGAACGGTTTTTTGAAGGCAGATCTGCCTTCAAAAGTGAGAACGGTTTTTTGAAGGCAGATCTGCCTTCAAAAAACCGTTCTTATTGAAGGCAGATCTGCCTTCAAAAAACAGTTCTTACAGAGTAGACCACAGCCCTCCACGCCTCGCACAGGATGGCCGGACGGACGTCGGGCCGATCGCTTTGCCGCGCCCGGGCGGGGGCTGCCGCCTGAAGAGAGCGGCAGGCCCGCGGGCCCTGCCGACGTCACCCCGCGCGTCGGGTGGCTGCGCGTGCGGAGCTCGGAGGACGGGGGGTGCGACGGGAGGGCGTGCTGCGGCATCGCTGATGCATCGAGGGGGGGGAGGAGGAGGAGGAGGAGGAGGAGGAGGAGGAGGAGGAGGAGGAGGAGGAGGAGGAGGAAGAGGAGGAGAATAAGGAGGAGGAGGAGGAGGAGGAGGAGGAGGACCCCCCCCCCTTCTCGTCCTCATGCTCCTCCCTTGGCGGCACCTTGCACCCCGCTGGTCGCTTGTCTGACCCTCCCCGGGTTCCTCGCCGCACCCTCCGGCGACAGCGAGTTTCCAGGTTGGAGGTGCGATGGGCCGTGCCCTGGCGCAGGCGTCGTGTCGCGCTGGAGCGGCTCCGTCGCGCACAGTTGTGCTCCTCGACCTGCCGCTGCTCGCTCCTCCCCAAACGCTGATGATCTGGGGTTGCTCCTCTTTGTCTCTCTCTCTCTCTCTCGCTCTCGAGTTGAAGTTGCCCACAGGAATCCCCCACCACCACCAGAACCCCCCATCCCCACCCGACCCCCCTGGGGCGCGGCGGCGGCCGAGCGGGTGAGTACGACCAGAGGAAGGAGCAGCAGGAGGCAATCAGCTCCGGTCGCGCGCGGTGTGTTCGCGGCAGGCATTTCGCAGAGTTCGGGTGGCGAGACGGAGTCCCAGGGCGCGTGGCGCCCACGCGGGTCGACGTGGGCGCGTGGGGCATCGGGCTTGCCAGCGATAGCTCGTTGGAGGCGAAGGCGGAGCTGCCATCGCTGGCCCCCCCTCCTTGTCGCCACTTCAGCGCCATCCCGACAACTGTCTTTCGCGCCGAAGTGGCCGATCTGGCCACTGCCCTTACCGCACCTGCCGCCGCTGGCGCCGCGCGCGCCAACGTTGTTTAGCTCAAGGGGGGTCCAGTCTCGGCGGCTGCAGGCTGGTCGTTGCAGGTGGCAGCGCTGGCCCGCGCGGTGCCGCGAGGATGGCTGGCGGCCCGGCGGAGAAGCAGCCGAGGCTGGTCGAGGACAGCTCCATCAATCGCGTGTCGAGTGCCATCACACAGAACAAGGCATTGGGCAGCATCCAGGCAAGCCTCCATGGGTGCGGCATGACCAAGGACGACTTGGGTAAGGCACAGGTGGGCATCGGCTCAGTGTGGTACCAGGGCAACCCGTGCAACATGCACCTCCTGTCTTTGGGTTCAGACGTGAAGGAGTCGGTCGACAAGGACCCTAGCATGTTCGGAATGCAGTTCAACGTCGTGGGCGTCTCCGACGGTATGTCTATGGGTACGAAGGGTATGACGTATTCCTTGCCCTCGCGGGAAATCATCGCCGACAGCGTTCAGCTGATGATGGAGTCCAACTACTACGACGCTCTTGTCACAATCCCTGGCTGCGACAAAAACATGCCTGGCTGCGTGATGGGAATGTGCAGGGTCAACAAACCGTGCCTTATGCTGTACGGGGGCACTATCGCGTCTGGGAAATCATGCAAGGGTGACCAGTTGGACATCGTCTCCACCTTCGAGGCCTACGGCAAGTACGTTGCGGGCAACATCTCGGACGAGGACCGGCTGGACGTGGTTCGGAACGCTTGCCCAGGGGCCGGAGCCTGCGGCGGCATGTACACGGCCAACACCATGGCCACCGCTGTAGAGACGCTGGGCTTGTCGCTGCCTGGTTCGAGCAGCACTCCAGCGCTGGCGCAGGAGAAGCGTGCGGAGTGTCGCCAGGTTGCCTCCGCCATCAAGAACATGCTGGAGAAGAACATCAGACCAAGCGACATTCTCACGAAGAAGGCTTTCGAGAACTCCATCGTCATGGTCAATGCCACGGGTGGCTCCACCAATGCGGTGTTGCACCTGCTCGCCATGGCTGCCCACGCTGGCGTGAACCTCACCATCGACGACTTCCAGCGCATCGGCGAGAAGACGCCCATCCTAGGCGATTTGAAGCCTAGTGGCAAGTACCTGATGGAAGCTGTCTTCCGCATTGGTGGCACCCCTATCATACTGAAGTACCTGCTGAAGCTTGGACGGCTTCATGGCGATTGCATGACATGCACTGGCAGGACTTTGGCGGAGAATTTGGCAGACGTGCCGGACTTGGATTTCGAGAGCCAGAGTGTCATCTTGCCAATCGAGAGGCCCATTCAGGCGACGGGAAACATAAAGGTCATCAAAGGGAATCTCGCCCCAGAAGGCGCTGTGGGGAAGATCACTGGCAAGGAAGGCACCTTCTTCCGAGGACGTGCGAATGTCTTCGACGGCGAAGATGCAATGATGAAGGGCTTCAGGGAGGGTAAGATCGGGAAGGGCGACTTCATCGTCATTCGCAACGAGGGGCCGCAAGGCGGCCCTGGCATGCGCGAGATGCTGCAGCCGACGGGCGCGATCGTAGGCCCTCTCTGGCTGGGACTTACCCCCCACCCTGCTCAGACACCTGGCCTCGGGAAGGGGGCTGGAGCAGCTTGGCAGCGAATAGTGTTCTGCGTCCTTGCAGAGTGGAGTCGGTTACCTGCCCCATACCTGCCAAGGAGCTGCATACACGTGACATCACCAGCCTGGGCGAGAGTTGGATACACGTGTGGTCTGATGTCGTTCCAGCGCTCGGCTCTTCTATGGCCGGGCACGCCAGGCTTCAGCATGTGTCCAGCGCGTGCCTTCCGGATGCTCCACATGTGAATCCGGCCGTCTGTGTTTCCAGTTTCCTGGCAGTTTTCCCAGAGGATCGGAGCTGACGCACGGGTTGTACGTAAGTCCCGGTCGTGAAACAGGCGCCGGACTAGGCAAACATGTGGCTCTCATGACCGACGGCCGCTTCTCGGGCGGCTCGCATGGCTTCATCATCGGTCACGTGTCTCCCGAGGCCCACGTCGGAGGCCCCATCGGCCTCATCAAGAATGGGGATACGATCTCCGTCGATGCCGAGAAGCTCGAACTGAACCTTGAGATTCCGGATGAGGAGTTGGCTGCGCGGAAAGCTGCATGGAAGCAGCCGCCACCGCCATTCAAGTCGGGTTGGTTGTATAAGTATTCCAAGACAGTATCTTCTGCCAGCTATGGCTGCCTCACGGATCGAGAACCAGTCCAGGCAGCTTGAGTACTTGCAGCATGGTTTTGGTGTAGAGTTTCTTAGGGTGGAGCCCCTGGCTGTGGCAGAGCTCTGGCAGAGCGCGTCGCATTTGCGCAGTTTCAAAATATGTTGTCGTCGTCGATGGTCCCTTGCACGACTCCAGCAAAATACGCCTGCCTAGAAGCATGTATCATCGGATCACCTGCTGCACACATGATCACTTGGGTATGGTACAGTCTGCCAGCATGCTGACCTCGCATCCCAAAAGCAGTATTAAAAGTCGGCCAAAGAACAAACGACACCACCCCACCTACGGCCTTCCATGTTGCGCTACGGCCCATCGGGGGCCATAGCGTATACCATGCAAAAACCCACGCCAGACGTCTTGGTATACTCTACGGCCCGTGGGGCCGTAGGTGGGGTGGTGCTGTGTTGTTTTCTGGTCCAAAAAGAACGCCACAGAGCAGTGCGCAGTTCGTGGGTGTATTGTTCCTTGCGGTGGAGCGGGGGTGGGTTTGCGACGCGCCAGGAGACTTGCGAACTACGCGGATGTTTGAGTTCGCCGGAGTGGGGTCGTAGGGAGGTGAGGTTTTCTACTTGGACGCCCGAAATGGGTACGGAAAGAATGGGTACAATGCCCAACAGCGGTTCCTGCTCATTTTGAACAGGATTCGTTGTCCACGCCGCCGCGGCCTGTGTCCATTCGAGACAGAAGGCCGCCTGCCAAAAAGCGGCCGATCTTGGTTTGGGACAACATTTGTTGTTGGGCATTGTACCCATTTTTTTCCGTACCCATTTCGGGCGTCCAAATTCTATCGGAACAGTCGTGTTCATGTGTTCTCGTCGGTCTCTCACGTTCTTCCTGCCCTCCCCAGCGCAACTTCTCTCACGACGCTCCGCCCGGCTCCACGGGCGGCTCCCCCGACCCACACCTCCTCGAACCCCTCGCGCCTGCGAGCCTCGGTTGCCCCCCGCGGTTTCGTCCTGGGGCGGCGGCGGGCCCCCGCGAGTCGGCTGATCGTGAGGAACATCCCAACCGCAGCGTGATCGAAGTCGGCCCACGATGGCAACGGCAAGCTCCCCCGAGTACGGCTCCTCAGTGATGCTCGACGGCTCCAGCCAGTGCGCGCACACCTGGAACGCCTGGCCCTGAAGATGGCCTCGAGTGGATTCCACGGGGCTCTCTGCAGCCGTTTTGGCTTAAGGCGCTTGGGCCCGAGGCCCGTTGCAGACCGAGCCAGCAGGACCTCGGCGTGGTAGCAGCGCTGCCTGCAACAAGCAATTGCCCGTCAGCGCGCTATCAATGGCACTGACAAGGACGGAGTCCATGTTTGATGGCAGTTCAAATCTTTTGCGCGGCACAGCCCAACAAACCAGCGCAGTGTCGAAACAGATGCAAGGTCAGATGACGAGTTCCTTCACGGGTGCAAGGAGCATGGTGCAGTGGGCCACTGAAAAGGGGTGGGCGGATAATAGCGATGTCACAGGATACGGCGTTGACAAGTTATCCTCGTCCATGCTGGTGTTCATTGTGGAGGGGAACAGTATTGGCGAACTGGGTGTTGTGGACCGAGCAGGCGCTGTGTATGTTCGTTTACGTCATCTACTCCGGCATCCACAAGCTATTTTTCGACACGCGAGCTGATACTGACAGTTTCCTCGTTGCTTCTACACTTTGCTGACCGTTGGTTCAAGTGGCTCAAGACCACAGACCACATTCCCTGGGGTTCACCGTTCACTGCGCCTGGTCTGCCCCAGGCGTCAGCCTGCCTCCTGGTTCGCCCCAGGTGAGCAGAGTTTTATTTTCTCAGTTCACTTGGTCCGCCCCAAGATGCACTCTGCCTCATGGTCCGCCCCAGGGGTGCAGCTTCTTCCGATCCCAGGAGTCATGGTCGGCATGGACCAGAAGGACAGCTACGAGTGCGACGAGGTCCAGAGCAAGCGCGGTGTCCTGACCCTGAAGTACCCCATCAAGCATGGTATCGCGACAAACTGGGACGACATGGACAAGATATGGCACCATATCTTCTACAACAAGCTCCGGGTGGCTCCGGGGGAGCACCCTCTGCTCCTCACGGAGGTGCCCTTGGACCTGCAGGCGAACCGCGAGCACATGACGCAGATCATGTTTGAGACGCTTAACGTGCCAGCGATGTGCGTCGCGATCCACGCAGTGCTCTCGCTGTGCGCTTCTGGCCACACCACTGGGTTGGTCATGGAATCCGGCAATGGCGTGTCGCACGTAGTACCCACCTATGTGGGTTACGCGCTGCCGCATGCGATCGTGCGTTTGGGCGGGACCCCACGGAGCATTTGATGAATATCCTCACCGAGCGTGGCCACTCCTTTACCACCACGGCTGCGCGAAAGATCGCGCGCGACGTCAAGGAAAAGCTCTGCTACATCCCGCTCGACTCGGCACCGAAAAGAAGGCCGCCACGGAGAGCTCCGACAAGGAGAAGTCGCACGAGCTCCCCGACGGGCCCGACGGGAACATCATAACCGTGGGCAGCAAGCGCTTCCGCTGCCCAGAAGTGCGCTTCCATCTTAGTTTCGTGGGCAAGGAAGCCAGCGGCATCCACGACACCACGCCCCAGTCGATCACGTAGTGCGATTTAGATAACCGCAAGGACCTGTACGCTAACGCGGCGCTCCCTGGTGGCACCACAATGTTCCCAGGCATCGGCGAGCGCTTGACCAAGGAGCTGACGGCACTGGCTCCTTCCAGAATGAACATCAAAGTCGTGGCTCCGCCCGAGAGCAAGTACTCAGTGTGGACCGGTGGATCGATACTTCCATTGAAGAACACATTCCAGCAGATGTGGATCTCCAAGGGGGGTTTACGACGAGTCGGACCCCACCATCGTGCACAGGAAGTGTTTCTGAGGGTTTGACTTCGGCAGAGTTAGGAAGCCAGGCAAGCTACAATCGTCCGACGTGACGTGTTGGATGGAGGTTGCGAGCTTGCTTCACGCCCCAACGTTCACAGCTGGCACTGGCAGCGACAACTCGCGGTGGCCGCGCTGGCGTTCTGGAGCGCGTCAAGGCTGTTGTCCACGTCCCTGGCATACTTAGCTATTCTACTAGATGCGCAGGCACAAGCCTGGCTCGCAAACCCTCTCAGTTACACTCTACCAGGGGAGGCCACCACCTGGACGGCTCCTGAACGGCATGCCGCTAGCGGCTTCTGCGGTACAGTTTTCAGATGCTTGCTTCTATTCCACCTGGTTCGCCCCTGCCGCGCTTCCCTTGCTTCCTGGCATTAGCTTTTCAGCTAGCCGCATGTACCAAGTATCGGAACGAAGTGTTCCTCTCGTACTGACTTCGATTACTGTCGCAGTATCAAGTTCATCAGTAGGGTAAAACTAACCTGTCTCACGACGGTCCAAACCCAGCTCACGTTCCCTATTGGCGGGTGAGCAATCCGACACTTTGGGATTTCTTTCTCCCCTCTCCTCCTCCCCTCTCTTGCCTCCCTGTCTGCGCGGTCTGCTGACCTGCCCGATGGGCTGCCGCCGTGCTTGCCCAAGCAGAGGGCCCTGCGCCGGCCTGCCTGCCCCGGCCGCGGTGCGCTTGCGGCATCGCCATGGGGGACTTCGCCCCCGCCTCCCCGCCCTGCCCCCCCCCCCCTTCCCTGCCCTCACTCGCCTCCTCGCCTCCCTCCCCCCCCCCCTCCCTCCCCCGCCCCCCCCCCCCTCGCTCGCCTCCTCCCCTCTCCTCCGCCGGGTGGCGGGGCGAGGCGCGCGGCCTCCGGGGGCGGCCGCCGCGCCAGAGCCCGGGCGCCGCCCCGTCTGCGCAGGTCGTGCGTCGAGGCCCGCGGGTCGCGCCAGCTTCGGGGCGGCCGGACACGCCCTCCGACCCTCTGCTGTTCACTGGGTCCGTTCGACTGCATTCCCGTTCGCAGCCTCACCCCGTCACTCAGGAGAATTAGGCTTCAACTGCACACCACCGCCTGGAACACCAGAATGTGTCCTGGTGCCCTGCCTTCCTCCTCCCTCTCCTCTCCTTCCGCCTTTCTTCTTTCCCATTTGCAAAGCACTGCGCTGCGCCCCACCGCGTGGCTGAGGCAAGCGAGCCTCGATTTCCGCCCGCCCTGCCCGCCCTGCCGGAGCGGCTTGTGGATTTTGCGTTGGTCCCCTCTTCGTGCGTGCACGCCTGTGGTTGTACAGCTCGTGTGCCGGTGTTCGGCCGCATTCGGCATCTCGCTTATGTATCCCCTTTTCCTTCCCTTTGGCTCCCTCCTTCTCACAGTTTCCTCTCGTTCCGCACGCGGCACTCTCGCTCATCCTTCAGGCCATTGTTCAGCGCACGTGCTTGCCTATCGCAGGTCGGCTCGCGCGGTGTTCCCGGTTTGCCTGGCGACCTTTCGATTCGCACAGCCGTCGAGGCCGAGTCGGGTGAAGTTTTGTGGTCGTGTCCCTCCTTCTCATCACAAACTTCCCTGGCCGTTGCCAGGTGGTGACGTCTCCGCACCAGCGGCATCGGCAATATCTGGAGCTCATGCTCGCAAATCCGCATGTACCTCTCTGAACGCGCGACGAGCGAATGTTGAGTTCAATTCGACGTTACGCACGGGCGTCGCTCATCACACGTGTCCTGTAGGATCGCTACCCATGCAAGCTCGCCGAATACTTCCACTTGCTTGCCGATCTGAATGCGTTAACCGAGGAGGAAGTTCGGAAGCTAACAGAGTACAAACATAATCTCGCCGAGAGCATTCGGACTTGGGTGACACGCATCGTGATGAACATGTACCGCGAAGACGACATCAAGAACGAAATTATGATACATTTCAATCTGGGGAAGGTGGCAATTGGGCGCAGCGGCGCCGCGCTCATCTGAGCACAGATGGCGATTCCGATCCCATGTCCAAGTGAACCTCTCCGAGTGAACCCTTCCGAGTGGCCAATGGTCACGGCGAAGGTGTTCCGCATCTTCCCATCAACGCAGACCTCCCAGACCCGTTTGACGGCGAAGTGAACGATTTCCTGTTGGGGAAGTGCGACAGCGGCGTCGACAGCGACGGGCGCAGCTGCGTGCAGGCTGCTGAGCACACCCCCGACTGGACGCACCTCCCCTGAGGGTGGCGAGGCTGGCCAGGCGCAGCGTCAATGCACTTTGCATGTGTTCTCTCCCTCCTCGCAGTCGAACGGGAAGTGTGCGTTGCACGATCTTTCATAGTGCAGGGCGTAGTCGAACTCCCGCTGCTCACGCCACCCGGTGCTTCCTTGTTGTTCGAAGTCTGGATGTTGCATCATCTGTGCGAAGACGTGGGTTTTGGGCCAGGTCCAGCGCTCGCTAAGTTCTATACGCATCCTCCCACGATGTGCAGAGATGTAGCTATTCCCTTGGCCTGTGATGGGCCCCGATGCGCATTGAGGACAGCCTTTTGGCTGGTGGCGCTTTGCTCCCAGTTGACTGTTGAACGGAAATTCGGCGGCGCACGATGTCGCACAGTGCACGTCGTAGGTGAAGTCCCGCTGCTCACGCAGGGTGCAGGGCTATGCCGAATTTCATATGCGCATGCGACGTTCGTGACACAAGCCAATCCCTCCTTACATTCGTCCTCCCCCAGACGAATTGCGCATCTTGTTACCAAGAGGTCTAGTTGGCACAGTTTCGGAGCGCGGACTTTGCAAGTTTGGCCTCGGAGCTGTACGATGCGAGATGCTAGGTGCATAACAGTGCCTTTAGATGAGCATGCAGGCTGCGCCGGATACCTGGGACAGGCACGACACATGAGTTCGTTAACGTTGCAGTTGTGGCACATACGCGGCATTTGTGTTGTAGCACTATGCACATGAAAACAAAAAGTTCAGGGGCCTCGGAAGGCCCCAAGGCCACCTCCATCGGGCGCAGGCAAGGCGGCTGGCACCGCGCAAAGTGAACTAGTGCTCCATACTCCGAGACGCTGCAGGAAAGCCTCCTTGAAATGATCAGGCTGCCGCCCCGTAGATCCCAAGCGCCAGCAGGGCATCCCATTTAGCTGATTCCGCTGCCGGCCCTTGTGACGGTCACCGGAGACGTCCGTGGCGTGGCCTGGCGGTCTGAGGAACGCCTCGCTTTGCGACGATGGCGATGCGCGAGGAGTGTGACCAGGAGCGGGTAGGGCTAGCTTGGACCACTTGACCAACAGCAACTTGTTTTTGACTATGATGAAAAAAACAGATTGGGCGGCAGCGAGCGGTGTGGAATTGCATTGCGTAGTGGGCTGGCGCAGTGCGAACGCAATTCATTGCAACACAATACGAAAAGTAATCGAACCAGCACTATGAGCATACGATTTAGTAAGATTCCCGAGTCAGCGGCAGACCATGGGTAGAGCCTGGGAAGCACAGACAGAGTACCAGGGAGAAGGGCCATGATCGAGCAGGGGGGGACAGGGTGTGGAAGGGGAAGGGTCAGTGCCATCGCGCTTCACGCCTCCAGGAAAGAAGAGAGTGAAGCGCCGAAAGGAGAGGAGGGTAAGGTATGGGGAAGGACTGACGCGTTCCCCTCGCCCTCCCCCCAGACTCCCCACTATAACCGTCAAGGCGCTGAAATGAGGACGACCATTCGACTCAGGGAGAGGGGCTCGGGCTTCTGGGCCGATCCTCAGTTGCAGGTCGTGGGAGATGCTCGCGGCCGAGGCTCGCCGTGGCCAGGCAAGCCCCTTCGCTCCCAGTCTGGCGCACCACGTTGCAGCACAATGGCTGTCGTGCCCACCCTCGGCCAACAAGCAGCAACATGTTAGCCAGCGTGGGCCCCAAACAGCGCATTTCTAGCAACACGCGCAGGGCAAGCCATGTAGTGCAATCTACGCGGTGCAATACACGTTGTGCAATCTACGTGGTGCTACCAATCCTCAGCTTGAAGTTGTCCACCTCCACTGCTCGTGCAAGCATCCCACCCACCCACCCGCAACTGGGTTTGCAAACCCCATGCGGAAACGATTGCGATGAGTGCTGGGTGTTGGCTGGTGCATCTCTGCGGCTGCGCATGCGCGCACGCGCGCAGCAGCCAGGTAGTTTGGCGCGACCGACGCGGCCGCGGTGGTGCTGACCGCTCGGCGCATCCAGGCGGGCTCTTGAATGCAAGTCGGCGACTTGGGCATGTGCGGTACCATGGCAACATCGATAAGTATGGATATGATGATGATGATGATGATGGTGATGGCGATGGTGATGATGATAGGAGCGATGTTGGCGACGATGCTGACAGCGACGACGGCACGGCCAGTGAAGGCGCTGATACCGATCACGCCGACACAGATGCCGGCGCCTTCGCGTCGGTGATGAAGGTTTTTAAAGGAATTCGAAATGCGCGCGCGGCATGCGCGCGAGAGTGGCTCGCATGGTTTTTCTTGGCACGGACCGTGCCACCCTTGCACGCGCGCAAAGGCGCCAGAACGAGTTCGACATGCGCGCTCGAAGCCCGTTTGGTAGCATTTCATAAACATATTGAAAAGACGTCGCAAGAATTCGCAAGAGCGCGCTCGCGCGCTTTTGTTGAAAATCTGCGTTGCGAAACCTTGTATTTTGTATTGGGCATGTGTTGATGATTTCTCGGTTTTGAAATCCTCCCGAACCAAATGTTTTCAAGGATTCCGGCACGTGCGCGCGACGGCGCGCGCGCGCGTGCCAGTCGTCCCTTTGTTTGCAGAGGATTCTCGCGACGGCACGCGCGCACGGGCGTTCGAAAGATGTCCGCGCGCGCGAAGCCCGTTTGATATTATGTTTTGAAATATTCAAAAACAGCTGGCTTTCCGTCAGAATTTGCAAGAGCGCGCTCATGTTTGTTTTGAAGATCCGTGTTGCCTTGTGTGTTTACATGTTTTTTGGGCACTCGACTTCGAAATCTTTCTGAAACCGGAAGTGTTTGAAAGATTTCGGCATGCGCGCGCGACGATGCGCGCGTGCGCGCGTCGTCATATTTTGCGCAAGGGATTCTTGAAAACTTATGATTTGTGATGAACGAGTGCGCGCGCATAGTATGTTTTGCAGAGGATGGCGGGGGGGGGACGATACCGGCCTGGCTGGGATAATATGAGTTCACAAGCAGGATGGACATTGAGTCTGAATCCTATGTGTTTCGCATCGGTTCCCAAGGGGGTCTTTCTGTCCGAGGGGAGGGTGGCAGAACCTATTCTTCAGTGTGGCAGAACCTATTCTTCAGTGAGGAAAATGTATATGGTGCAATATGTGCTGTGCGACATATGCTGTGCAATTCGTGTGGTGCAACATGTGTTGCGTACTCGAGATTGCACGTTTCTTTTATATTTTTTATGTTGCAACGTATGTTGTCCAGCCTGCGTGGTGCCATATATATGTGTATATATACATATAGCTGTGTATATGTATACATTTATGATGTGCAACTCACTTGGTGCAATCAATATATGTATATGGATGTATATATACTTAGCGAGGTGCAACATATATGGTGCAATATGTGTGTCATCTATGTTTGCACCCGGCGCATTTGCAATACATGCGATGCAATATGTATAGACATGTATATATGTGTGCTTGAATGTATTACATGATATGTGGTACAATGTATGGGGTGCAATCCACTCTGCTGAACTTGAAGTCGTCATCCCCACTGGTCGCGCAAACATCCCACCCACCCACCCGCAACTTGGTTTGCAAAAAGTGTCAAGACCGACTACGACGACACCGACGACGACGACTAGGACGACACCGACGACGTCTCCGACGACTTCGACGACGACAACGACGCCGACGCCGACGACGACGAAGACGACGACGACGACGCCAACGAAGGCGACCACGAGGGAGGAGGAAGGACGACGACGGCGAAAACGACGACGACGACAACGACGAGGGGGGAGGGAGGACGGCGGCGACGCGAACGACGACGAAGGAGGAAGGACGGCGACGCCGACGACAACAACGACGAGGGAGGAGGGAAGACGACGACGACAACGACGACGACGACGGCGACGAGCGCCTTGCGTGCCGTGATCGCATCACTGTCCAGGGCGTTCGCCTCCATGAGGTTCTCCTTTTCGGAGAATGTGTACAGCAAACTGCCGGGCTTTGAATATCCCGCCGTGCCGAGGGGCGCGTTGGGCTTCATACATGCAGAGCCGATAACGCGATTCGCTAGGGAACGTCGCATAGATGCGCCGGTTGCAATAGACCCGCGCGGTGGGCACTCCGACGGGAGGGCCCATGACGGCGCTACTCTGGAGGATTGGACGGCGGTCGAGCAGGCCCCCGCGCCGAACGCGATGTTCGGCGGGGTGACCGCCAACGAGTTGGCAGCGCTGGAGCGCGCGCACTTGGCTAGTGCCATATCGCGCGAGGAGCTCGCCTGCGCTCGTGTGGCCTTCGAGCCCGACGCGTTGCCCGCCGTCGATGCCAAGACTACCGGCCACACCGAACGGGTGCTGGACGGCTGGTTTAAGGACATCCGGCGTGAAGCGTTCAAGAAGGTAAACCTGCTGCGGCCCAACGGCAAGAAGGCGATGCCGTATGGCAACCTGGTGAACTTGTTCACCAGGGTTGGGCCGGCTACATGGGACCGGGCGGTGGACAGCGCCATTTTGGCAAATCCTGACATCCGCGCGGCGCCCAAAAGCCATGCCGTCCGCGCTTACTTGGACGGTGCCCCAAAGAAGATGGCGTACGGCAAAGCTGCCTTGCGGACCGATACTCTTGTTGAAGTGTTGGTGCGTGGCATGGCGGCCGCTGTCGCTGCTGAGCGATATGCAGAGGCACGCACGCTGGCGTCTGAGCTGGACAACGTGTACCCTTACACTCGAGCTGAGAATAGGGAGCACAAAGGCATCCAGGTGGGCGATGCTGCGTGGGCCATGTGCTATTGCCCGGTCGAGGCCGCGCGCATCGTAGCGGACGGGTCGCTGTTCATACGTGAGCACGAGCCACTGAGGGGCAGTAAGGCAGCGAGCGGCTGCGCGGACGCCGTGTCGTTCATGGTGCGGTTTCTCGGCATGCATGTTGGTGGTTCGAATAATTACGTGGCCACCCTGCTGTCGGGCGCATTGAGCAGCAGCGATGCGTTCGCTTTCTTTGCTTGGCTGGACGTCAACGACTGCCTCGGCCTGACTGACGATTGTTGGCGCACAGTGTTCAAGCCGCTCTCCGGACACTGCAAGAAGCTGCGCCAGGTGCCGCACGACATGGGCAGCTTGCGCGACGCGGCGGGCTACGGGCGCATCTCGTGCCCGCACATGCTTGCGAGCCGCGGCGGCTGGGATATAGAGGCCGCCGAGGAGGAGGCAAAGCGTGCTCGCGTGCTGGAGCAGCCCGTGGCTTTCGACCCGGAGGTGCGGCGTTTCACGACGGAAGCTGCTACCGACGCAATCCACAAGTCGGTGGATCGGTCGTATGGGCCGGATGTGGACACTAACACGCGGCTGCACTGCCGCGACCCCTTCCGCGTGTGGTTGCAGCGCGAGGTGTGGTCGGCGGCTGGTGCTGCGGGCGGATGGAATGCGAAGTTGCAGCGCTTGCGTCACGGTGAGGAGAACGAGCTGGACACAGACGCCGCGGCTGCGGAGGCCGCCAGGCGCTGGGTCGCCAACGTGGTGGCGCGGTACGAGGCGACGCCCGGTACGGAGGAGGCTGCCGGCTTACGGCCTGCCCACGCACCGCAGCCTCGCCTTGCCGACTTCGTCAAGGACGGCAGCCACGCGAATGCATGGCTGGAGGCGGAAGTGGCGTCGCTTAACAAGCGTGGCGCGCTCGAGCGTATGCTGTGGGATCAAATCCAGCATGTGCTGGCTGAGGTGCGCGGCGCAATGACGGCGGTGTCGGCCATCAAGGGCGAGGCTGGTTTGTCGCGCCTTCTGCTGACTAGTGACGTGATGCACTACATTGTGTACGCGCTGGTCATGGAGGTGGTCGAGCCGGCGATGCGGAGTGACGGGCGTCTAGACCGCGGCATGCCAGCGACGACTGAGTGGCTGCGGATGTGCTGGCGCGTGCGCAACACGCGCGAGAGCGCGGCGCGGCCCGGCCTCACCACCATGCGGTGCTGGGACCTCAGGGACATGAACTCGCAGCATACTGGCTTGTTCATGTCGTCGTTGTTGCTGGCAATGTCGGATCGGCTGCGGCGCGGCTGCACCGCGGAAGCGCGATACCAGGCGCGGGCGTGCGGCGCTAGCTGGTGGTTGGCGCAGGCAGCGACGCGCACTACGATCCGGTGGGCAGCGAACGACAACACGTCGGCGCCGGCCACTTGGGCGCTGTGCTCCTTGATGAGCGGCAGCCGCGGCACGAGCGACACGAATGTGTTGTTCGGGGCTGCGTGCTCTGCCTGCGTGCTCGCATCGTACCTGGCCATCTATGGCGAGCAGCCGTTTGTTGACGAGCTGTGCAAGGGCGATGATTAGGAGGCTGTGTTCCGGCACTCACAGAAGTGGGGCTCGCCGTGGCTAGCGGCGGTCATCTTCGACCGGTTGATGCGCTTTTCGGGGTTCGACGGGGCCACGATCAAGCGCCTGGTCGGCGAGGGCTGGACGGAGTGGACGAAGGCAATGTACGACGAGCTCGGCAGCATCAGTGGCTCGGTGTTTCGCACTGTCAGCACGCTGACCGTGTCGTCGTGGCAGGCCGCACCCATGCGCGACCCGGTGGACGCGACGCTCGCAGGGAGCCTGCTACTGGACGTATTAACGCGGCGGCGCGGGGCGTCGGCGGAGTTCTACGCAGTGATGCGCGAGGCTTGGCTTTTCCGGCGGGGGCGCGCGGGCCACCGCGTGCCCGGCACGGCCGACCAAGCGATGCGCAGTGCTCCTGACACTGGCGACGGGCGCGAGCTCATCGATTCGTGGGTTAGCTTGCCCCGTGAGCTGGCGTGCGGCCCGACCGCGCTCGGCGCGCTGGGCGCGCCGTCATGGCTGCCCGGCGGCGGCTGGTGGACGTGTCGCTCTGGGTGCGGCGCGCCGATCGGGGGCTGCCCCTGCGGCGGCCGGCACTGCTGGTTTGCCGGGCAGATGCCGAGAGTGGCCGCGCGCCCGGTGCGTGCGAAACCAGATCCGGCGGTGCTGCGCTCGATGGGTCACGGGATGGCGGACGACTATGTGACGTGGCTATGCACGCATGTGCGCGAGGCGAGCAGCTTGAGCAGCAGCCGCCTGGGCGAGATACGCAACGCGGCGCTTGCTGATTCGCGCGGCTTCGGCTTGCCGGAGGGCGAGCGCCGGTGGATGGCAGGGTTGAACCGTCTTGCCGACTACGCATGGGCGCTGTCGACGCGGCACTGGGCGTCGGCGTGCACGCGGATAGCGGCATGCCATTGCGATGGCGAGCGTCGCTGGACCGCAGGCGTACGCGAGGCGGTGGCGGCTGATGTGGCGCACTTCAAGGCGCGCATCGCCGACCGTCTCGGCTCGGAGTACGGCAAGCTGCGCCAGGCGTTCTAGCTGCGTGGGGACGTGCCAACCGCGCTAGCCAACCAGCTGCTCGGCGACGTGGTGCGCATCGCTGAGTGCGGTGAGTGCATGCTGTGCCGGCGCGTCGGTGGCGCGGTGAAGCATTCTGCTGGCTTCGGCCGCCTGCGCGACGACGTGCGTCGCCGGGCGCGGCATGCGTTCGTGGAGTTGGTTGAGGGGCCCCTGGCATACGGCGCCGCGGCGTTCCTCGACAACGACCAGCCCGCATTGCAGCAGTCGCACGGCATCGCAGGCGCATCGGTGGCGGGGCGCACCGACGTGGCGCGCGCTTGTCGAGCTCGGCGCTGATGTGGCTGGCCGGGACGCAAGCGGCAAGGAATTCGCTCGTCGCGTCCGTCGCTACGAGGGGTCACTTTGGTCAACCGGTGCACTTGACAGTTTCAACGCGTTGTGCGGCTTACTTACAGATCAAGCCGCCCGCGCGTGGTTCTTTGGTGATTGCGTCTTGCCACGCATGGAACCCAACTGGTCTACGCAGTTCGAGGCTCTGGCGCATGGCGTGGCATATTTTGCGGTGGAGCGGGCTCTACTGGAGCGCCCGCCGCCGACCTTGGTAGCTCGCGACCAGCTCGTCTGGTTGCTCGCAGTCGCACTGCACGCGTTCGCCGACTTGTCGGCGGGCAATGCTAGTGCTCTGCGTTTGCAGGGTACTTAGTAGCACGCTTGTGCACGCCGTCGCTCGTATCGGGCGGCGGCAAACAAAACAAAAACAAAAAAAAACAAAACGACGACGACGACGGCGACGAAATAGGAGGGACGACGACGAGACGCCGACGACGGACGACGACGACGACGTGGGAGGAGATGGAGGGACGACCACGGCGACAACGACGACGGCAACGACCACGACGCCAAAGACGACGACGACGACGAACACGAGAAAAGACAGAGGACGACGTAGGCGACGACGACGACGACGACGACGACGCGGGAGGAGGGAGGACGGCGACGACGACGACGACGACGACGACGACGCAAGGGCGCGCGCGCGCACGCTTTTGTTGAAAATCCGTGTTGCGAAACCTTGGGTTTTTGTAGGTTTTTTGGACGCACGATTTTGAAATCCTTCCGAAACCGATGGGTTATGAAGGTTTTCGGCATACGCCCGCGACGACGCGCGCGTCTGCAGTTCGTCTCATTTTTTTGCAGAGGATTCTCGCGACGGCACACGCGGAAGGGCGTTTGACAGACTTCGACATGCGCGCGCGAAGCCCGTTTGGTAGCATTTTGTGAAAATCTTGAAAACCCATGGTTTTTTTTTCAGATTTCGCAAGAGCTCGCGCGGAAGCTTTTTTAGCAAAGCAGTGTTTCGAAACCATGTGTTGTTGTGTGTGTTTTTGGAAACTCGATTGCGAAATCCTTCCGGCACCGAAGGTTTTTGAAAGATTTCGGCATGCGCGCGCGACGACGCGCGCGTGCGCACTTCGTCATATTTTTTGCAAGGGAGTCATGAAAAAGTTTTATGCTAGAACAAAAAATGTCACCGCATAGTGTTTTTCACCAAGGAACCTCAGGGGGGGGAACCCAGCCTGGCTGGGATGGTACGATTTCATATTTAGGATGGACGGGTGTGCAGCATATATATATATGAAATCATACTATCCCAGGGGGGACCGATAAGTCCGAGGGGGGGGTAGAGTCTATTTTTCTTAAAAAGGAGAATGTATGTGGAGCAACCTATGTGGTGCACTCTGTTTGTTTGCCACCTATGCGGTGCAATCTATGTGGTGCAATTGACTACGCTGCACCGCGCTTGACCACTCCATTGCTCGCGCAAACATCCCACCCACCCACTCGCAACTTGGTTCGCAAAATCTCTTAAGACCGTGACGGTGGGTACCACATGGCACTTGCCAACGACAGCGGCGCCGACGACGACAGCGACAACGACGACGACGACGCCGCCGACAACGACTACGACGACACCGACGACGTCTCCAACGACTTCGAAGACGCCGACAACGACGACGACGACGACGACGACGACGACGACGACACCGACGACGACGACGCCGACGCCGACGACGACGACGATGACAACGACGACGACGACGACGACGACGACGCCGACGACGACGACGACAACGACGACGCCGACGACGACGACGACGACGTCAACGACGCCGACGACGACGACGACGACGACGACGACGACGACGACGGCGGCGACGACGATGACGCCGACAACGACGAAGACGACGACGGCGCCGACGACGACGACGAGGACGAGGACGACGACGACGTCGCCAACGAAGACGACGACGAGGGAGGAGGGAGGATGACGACGGCGACAACGGCGACAACGACGACAACGACGAGGGAGGAGGGAGGACGGCGACGACGCGAATGACGAAGAAGGAGGAAGGACGGCGACGCCGACGACGGCAACGACGAGGGAGGAGGGAAGACGACGACGACGACGACAACGACGACGACGACGACGACGACGACGGCGACGAAATAGGAGGGACGACGACGAGACGCCGACGACGGACGACGACAACGACGAGGGAGGAGGAGGAAGGACGACCACGGCGACAACGACGACGGAAACGACCACGACGCCAAAGAGGACGACGACGACGAACACGAGGAAAGACAGAGGACGACGTAGGCGACGACGACGACGACAACGACGAGGGAGGAGGGAGGACGGCGACGACGACGACGACGACGACGCAAGAGCGCGCGCGCACGCTTTTGTTGAAAATCCGTGTTGCGAAACCTTGGGTTTTTGTAAGTTCTTTGGACGCGCGATTTCGAAATCCTTCCGAAACCGATGGGTTTTGAAGGATTTCGGCGAACGCGCGCGACGACGCGCGCGTCTGCAGTTCGTCCCATTTTTTTGCAGAGGATTCTCGCGACGGCACACGCGCAAGGGCGTTAGACAGACTTCGACATGCGCGCGCGACGCCCGTTTGGTAGCATGTTGTGAAAATCTTGAAAAACCCATTGTTTTCTTCAGATTTCGCAAGAGCTCGCGCGGAAGTTTTTTAGCAAATCAGTGTTGCGAAACCATGTGCTTTTGTATGGTGTTTGGAAACTCGATTGCGAAATCCTTCCGGCACCGAAGGTTTTTGAAGGATTTCGGCAATCGCGCGCGACGACGCGCGCGTGTGCACTTCGTAGTTTTTTTTTCGCAAGGGATTCGCGAAAAAAGTGCTATTTTAGAACAAAAAATGTCACCGCATTGTGTTTTTTACAGGGGAACCTCAGGGGGGGGAAATCGGCCTGCCTGGGATGGTATGATTTCATATTTAGGATGGACGAGTGTGCAGAATATATATATATATATATATGAAATTATATTATCCCAGGGGAAGCGTTAAGTCGGGGGGGGTCGAGTCGATTCTCTCTTTTTTAGAAAGGAGAATGTATGTTGTGCTGTTTATGTGGGGGCGATCCACGTGGAGCAAAGCGAGGGGGCGGCGACGGCGGCAGCATAACCGCTAGACCGCCACCAAGGCCTAGACGACTGGCGGCGACGAGGCGGAAACAGGACGGCGACGGCGACAACATAGCCGCCAGACCGGCAATCAGGCCCAGACGACGGGCGGCGACGAACGAGGCGGCAACGGCGACAACATAACCGTCAGACCAGCACTCAGGCCCAGTTCCTTAGAACAGAAGTAAGAATCCTCAATTTATAAAGTAAAAAACATATTCCCCTTACCCATCCTTGTCGGCAGGACGCCCACAGCCCCTCCCCTCGCCGCCTTCTTCCCCTCGCGGCGCGCGCCGGTGCGCACAACACGCACCGTCGGATCTCTTGTCTGAGATGAGCAGAAAGGCAGATGTATAAAGCATAAGCTAAAACAGGGATCACAAACGCGGAACGGACATGTGCGGCATTGTAATATGATCGCCATGCCTCGCTCTATGTCCCTCCCGTTCCAACCTGGACGCCCACCTGGGAGGAGGAACAGCAGCACGAAGAAGGAGGCGCGGAGGGGTGGGGGGGAGCAGGAGGAGGAGGAGGAGGAAGAGCTCATTTGCCCGTTGACGGCCCCAGTGCCAGGAAAGAGCCTCTCTGGCCGCAGAGCGGGCTACGCGTAAGAGTGACCCTTCGCCGGAGTGGCCATCGGCGCGGGCACGCTCTACCGGGTCCCCAGATGGCTGCACGCGATGCGATGGCAGCGGCTTGCGCGCTCGGAGTTGGCCCTCCCGCGCCCCCCGAACGCACCGAGGGCCGCTCTCGCCCAGGGCCGCTCATTGCGTGCAGCCCACCGGGCAGCGGCGAGGAGCGCCGGCCGCCCGCGCCGCCGCAGCCGCGCGGCCCCCGCGCGCGCGCGAGCCCCGCCGCCCTCCGCCGGGGCGGCGCCCCTCCGCGCTCTCCGAGTCGGCTGCCCGCAAGAGCGGCCTTCCGCTGGAGGGACCCTCTGGCGCGCGCGCGGGCGCACGATGGGGACCGCCTGGGCCGCCCAGGCGGGGTTCGGAGCAGGTGGGGTCGGAGGATCGCGCCGCATCGCCGGTGCGGCTCAATGGGGAGCCCGACGTTCGCCACGCCGGCGGCGCCGATGCAGCAGCGATGCGGCGCGATCCTCCGACCCCGTCCGACGGGGCCCCATCTAGGAGGCTCCCAGTCCCACCAGCACTGGCTGGCGCGCTTGGACGACTTCCATTTGGCCTCCTTGGACGGAGCTAGGACGAGGCTAAAGCCGTTCCAGAGCGTTACAGGAGCGCTCCCGGAGCGTTCCACAAAACGACGCTCTGAGAGCAGGCCGCGGCGCCGGAGGCATCCTCCAGAGCCGCGGGATCTCAGAGAGTCTCGGTTTGCCCTCGCCCGGTGCTGTCCTCGCCCTGGCCTCATCCTGGCTCCCCCGCGGCCCCCCACAGCTGCGCCCCACAGGCCGCGCTGGCCTCTTGGGCCGTCTTGGAGGTGTCTTGGGCCGTCTTAGGGCCCTCTTCGGCCGTCAGGGGACCCTCTTGTGGGCCTCTTGGGCCGTCTCGGGGCGATCTTGGGGGCCTCTTGGGCCGTCTTGGCGCGTCGGGACGCGGAAGAGACAAGAACGCCAAAATCTTCCAAAAAACGTGTGGCAAATCCATGCATTTTGCCTCGTGGGGCTCTCGTGGGAAGGCTCCTGGAGGCCTCTTGGGGCGCTCTGCAGGCACCAGGGCCCCTCTGGCGCGCAGCCGAGCCGGAGCCCCCCGCGCAGGAGGGCCTCTCCAGCGGCGGAGCCTCGCGCATTCGCCCGCGCCGCCGCGCCGCCGCGGGGGCTCTCGCGAGCGGCGCGCGCTCGCTCCGCCGGGGCGGCCAGCGCTCTGCGCTGTCCGAGGCGCCCCCCGCGGAGCGCCCTTGCGGCGGCCGAGGGCGCGCCCTCGTCGCTCGTCCGCGGGCGCGCCCTCGTCGTTCTGGCTCTCGTCGCTCGTCCTCCACCCTCCACCTCTCCTGCTCCTCCTCCTGCTCCTCCTCCTCCTCCACCCTCCTCCTCCTCCTCCTCCTCCTCCTCCTCCTCCTCCTCCTCCTCTCCTCCTCTCCTCCCTCCTCCTCCTCCCTCCTCCTCCCTCCTCCTCCTCCTCCTCCTCCTCCTCCTCCTCCTCCTCCTCCTCCTCCTCGTTCTCGTTCTCGTTCTCGTTTTGGTTGTCGTCGTCGTCGTCGTTGTCCTCGTCGTCGTCGTCGTCCTCGTCCTCGTCGTCGTCGTCATTGTCGTTCTCGTCGTCGTCGTTCTCGTCGACGTCGCCAGGATCGCTCATCGCTCGGGAGGGAGGGGGCGCCCTACGGCGGGCACCCGGCGGCCTGGCGCACTCTCCCATCGGAGCCTCGCGCGGCGGCCTCCTCGAGGTTTCGAGGTGTTGAGGATCGAGAGGCTTGAAGGATCGGGTATCGAGGATCGAAGTTTCGAGGATCGAGGTTATGTTCGAGGATCGAGGATCGAGGTCCGAAGTTCTATGGGCCACTTCTGGGCGCCTTCTGCTTCTCCCGGAAGGTATGCCACCACGTTGCCTGGAGCTGGCCTCTCGTTCCCTGGGCCTCTTATTGTGGGGCCCGCCTTGCGGGCCTATTGAGGTCCATCCTAGACACGAGAGTCGCCAGAGGGGATCTCATGTTTCGGGAGCGTTTTGTTGTTCACGCTTTCTGGACCTCAGGGATGCTTTTTGTCGCCACGGCTGGGTGGAACTTCGAGGACCCATGTTGGGGGAGCGCTTTTGTTTCCCACCATTTTTCGGGCTTCAGGGAGGCTTCTCGTCGCCACGGCTGAGTCGAACTTCGAGGATCCATGCTTAGGGGAGCGTTCTTGTTACAATCCTTTGTGGGACCTCCTGGAGGCGTCTCGTCGCCACCACTGGGTCGAACTTCCAGAATCCACTGTTGAGAAGTGTTTTTGTTGTCCACTCTTTGTGTGGGGTCTCAGGGAGGCTTCTCGTCGCCACGGCTGGGTCGAACTTCCAGGACCCATCGTTGGAGAGCGTTTTGTTCGACCCTTTGGGGGGGCCTCGGGGAGGCTTCTCCTCGCCACGGCTGGGTAGAACTTCGAGGATCGAGATTCTAGTCTGTGCTTCCGCCTCCCTGGGCCTCGGGGAGACTTCTCGTCGCCACGGCTGGATCCGCCTCGAGACTCCGGCCAGAACGCGCTCCGGGATCGGTCCGCGGGTCCACTCTCGACCCCGGCTCCGAGCCCTCTCCCCCCCACCCCCAATCACGCCGTGAGAAAATCACGGCACCGGAGGTTTTCGTCAATATGTTCGGGCCCAACCAGGCCCCAGGCCGTCAGAAAAGTGCCCAGGGTGAAACACTGGTCCACGGGAGGGGGTTACGGTCGGACCAGGTTGTAAGATCGAGGTCGGTCCGGGAAGGGGAGCCTCATGAGTGTTCTTCGTGGTTGCCGGATGCTCTCGTGCATCCTGGGAGGAGGATGCCTTCACATGTTCTTCAGTCTGGCCGGCGGAGGGTCGCATGTTCTTGAGGGCAGTTCTTCTGTCCTACAGTCAAACCGCATAGTACAAGGATGGGTAACCTTCCCAAGGGTACTCCAAATCCTTTACTAATCGACCCCCCCCTAATAAACCGGACCCCCTCCAAATGCGACCTAATATTCTGGACCCCCTTCTTCGACGGGGGGCCTTCACAAACGGGACCCCCTAAGCTCCAATCCAAGGAAAGCGCCCTAATAAACCGGACCCCCACGGTTGCAAAAAGGCGCGTTAAAAAACCAGACCCGGGGGACGATGAATAAAGGATTTGGAATGCCCTTGCATTCTTGCCTCCTCGGTCCATCCTTCGCCACCTTCGTTGGCCGCGCCCCACTCGAACAGCTTCGGCACGGGCGTCCACGGGCCTTGAGGTCCTTACCGCGCATCCTGACTGTTCGGTTTGACTGTGGGTCCGGCTGCAGAGACCTCCGGGAGTCCACGCTGCGGAAACAGAAGCACGACGCCGGGGGCCCAGGGGGTAGGGTTAGGTCGGGTATGTCCTCCTATACAGGCAGAGTTTGGACGACATATAAAACAGAAACAAACAGATTTGAAAAGATGTTGAAACAGAATCGAGAGATCGTCGCCATGTTAGGCTTTAAAACTATTTTTGAATACTCCTCCTGTAGAGGGACGTGCCCGACTTGAGGGTATGGGTCCGCCGCCTTCCCGGGAGTCTCGGGCCGGACGAAAGGGGGGGATTGGGAAAGGGGGGGTTGCGAAATCTGCTGCATGCAGCTGGTTTCGGCCCCACTGAGGGGCCCATTCCTCGATGCATGGCCGCCTCCGGCACCGGGAGGCGCCGGGAAAATCAGCTGCGCAAGGTGCTTCTCAAACCCCCCCTTTGCTATCCCCCCCTTTCGCCCAGCCCGAAACTCGACCGGAGCCCTGGACCCCATCTTTCTGCAGCATTTTCCGAGCCGGTTCGATCAGGTCGGGTCCCGGGGCCCGAAGTGCGACGCCAGGATCTCAGGGTTGGCACCGATCTTGGAGCTCGGGATTCTCAAACCTCCCCTTTCGCCCGGCCCGAGAGTCTCCTCCCGGAGGCGCAGCAGCCCCCCTGCCCCCTCCGCGAAGCGGGGGCCTCCGCCGCCCGGGGATGGGGCGGAAGTGCCGGGCACGGGAGAGCGGGGGGAAGCGGGGCAGCGGCGCGAGGAGGAAGCTCGGTCAGGAGGGGAGGAACACAGAGGCCCAAGGAGTCGCCGGCTCCCAGGAAGAGATGGGGAACTGGGTGGCGTGGGGGGGGAAGACGGGCGCCCAGAAAAGGTTAGAAGAGGTTGGGAATCCTGGGGCGTGGGTCTATGTATTAGTTGTTTGTCCCTGGGCCCCTGTGTAAGCATGTTTTAGTTACGTGGCAGCGCGGCAGAGGCAGTCCGCACGCGCGCTCGGGCAAGCTGGGTGACGGCATCGCGAATTGTCCAGCAGCAATCTGCAGGGAAAGGGGGGGGGAGCGGCCACGGGCAGGGCTTTTTGACTGCACTTGGCTCGTTGCAAGTAGCTTGAGCTGGGTGGCCGAGGTCGGCCAGGCGGCAGACAGAGCCCGCCTAGCGGGCACAGCACAGGTTCTCCGCTCCTGGTCCGTCCGCAGGCAAAAGCGATTCTTCGCCATTGGACCTGCATGATGGGCGGGGGAGGTATTGGCACCGAGGGGGAGGGAGAAGGAATGATAAGAAGAGAGGGGATCGGTGCCGTGCGAGATACACTGAGCGCGCCATCTAGGCGTTGCCCTATGCGGGCAGCTCTGAAAGACCGGGAGCAGCAGAGCTGGCCTCAGGGACGGCCATCTGGGAGCATGGCTTAGCCATGAAAATGAGCGGGATGAGTAGGAGGAGGGCCAAAATGGCCTTGCCGCGCTGTATGGCGGCCGTGGCGGAGCGGACTAGGAGGGAGAGGCCGGCGTTGCCGCCAAGAGTCTAGGAAGCCCCATCGGTAACGCACGTGACCGGAAAAGGGGGCAGGTGAGAGAGCGCCTGTGCTGTGCTGGGCGTCATGGAGTAAACGGGGTAAGAGGGGAGGGATAAACATATGGGAGGGAGAGGGACTATCTTGTCCAGCCAAGCAACGCTAGGGCGCGGTAGCTGTCAGTAGAGGTACGCACCTCTGACAGCCAGCATTAGCCGAGAATTGCTCGGCAGGTGGGATGTACTAGGGCGGCATTTTTGCTTGCCGCAATATCGACTCAGCCGTGGCGAGTCTGCGAATTGCGCTGTGAGCATTGAGCCGACCGCTCTTCTGGTAGCGTGGCTGCCTAAAAGTGTTGCTATGGCCTGGCCGCAATGTAGCGGCAAGAATGTGTGAAGCTAGAAACTGGTGCTGGCTACAGCACTTGAAGCTGGCCCTCGGGATGGGGCTAAAGAAATGAACTGAAGGGCCCGCTGCGACGAGACTGCAGGACGGCTCGGCCGACCTTAAATTGGAGCTGCATAGCTCCTGAGCTGGTGAGATACGGCTCGTGTGGCTGGCTAGGGCTATCTAGGTGGTGGGCTGCCGATGTAAGCAGAGACTGGGGTATTATGCTAGCCCACCACCTATGAAGACTCAGCCGTGGCGAGTTTGCGAATTGAGCTGTGAGCATTAGCCGTCCGCCTTTCTGTCAGCGTGGCTATTTAAAAGTGTCGCGTTAGCTGCACTAGTGCGGCAAAGAGGTGAGCCGATAGTTGCTCGGCAGGTGGGATGTACTGAGGCGGCATCTTTGCTTGCCGCAAGCCAGGAGACTATCAAGCCCCATCGGTTACGAATGTGACCGGAAAGGGGGCAGGTGAGAGAGCGCCTGTGCTGTGCTTGGCGTCTTGGTGTAAACGTGGTAAGAGGGGAGAGAAGAACATATGGAGGGAGAGGGATTATCTTGCCAAGCCAAGCAACACTAGGGCGCGATAGCTGTCCGTAGAGGTACGCACCTCTGATGGGCAGCCTTAGCCGAAAGTTACTCGGCGGGTGGGATGTGCTGCGGCGGCAATTTTGTTTGCCGCAGTATCGACTCAGCCGTGGCGAGTCTGCGAATTGCGCTGTGAGCATTGCTCTGGCCGCTCTGCTGGTAGCGAGGCTGTTCAAAAGTGTCGCTTTGGCCTGGCCGCACTGCTGCGGCAAGAATGTGTGAAACTAGAGACCGGTGCTGGCTACAGCTCTTGCAGCTGGCCCGCCTCTGGATGGGGCTGAAGAAAAGATCTGAAGGGCCCGCTGCGACGAGACTATAGGACAGCTCGGCCGACCTTAGATTGGAGCAGCATAGCTCCTCGCTGGTGAATTACGGAACGTGTGGCTGGCTAGGACTATCTAGGTGGTGGGCTGCCGATATAAGCAGAGACAGGGGTGTTAGGCTAGCCCACCACCTATGAAGACTCAGCCGTGGCGAGTCTGCGAATTG